GTTGTTAGGTGCTGTCGAGTTGGCTGCAACTCATAGCGACCCTATGTACACCAGAAGGAAACACTGCCCGGTCCTCTGCCGTCCTCACAATCATTGTTATGCTTGAGTCCATTGTTGCAGCCGCTGTGTCAACCCATCTCCTTGAGGGTCTTCCTCTTTTTCGCCAACCCTCTACTTTACGAAGCATGATGTCCTTCTCCAGGGACTGATCCCTCCTGATAACTGGTCCAAAGTATGTGAGACAAAGTCTCGCCATCCTTGCTTCTAAGGAGCATTCTGGCTGTACTTCTTCCAAGACCAATTTGTTCGTTCTTTTGGCAGTCCATGGTATATTCAATATTCTTCACCAAAACTATAATTCAAAGGCGTCAATTCTTTGGTCCTCCTTATTCATTGTCCAGCTTTCACATGCATATGAGGCAATGGAAAACATCATGGCTTAGGTCAAGCGCACCTTAGTCTTCAAGGTGATATCTGTGCTTTTCAACACTTTAAAGAGGTCTTTGGCAGCAGGTTTGCCCCATGCAGTGCATCTTTTGATTTCTTGACTGCTGCTTCCATGGGTGTTGATTGTGGATCCAAGCAAAAGGAAATCCTTGACAACCTCAATCTTTTCTCTGATTATCATGATGTTGCTTGTTGGTCCAGTTGTGAGGACTTTCTTTTCTTTATGTTGAGGTGTAATCCCTACTGAAGGCTGTAGTTGTTTGATCTTCATCATTTCAAGTCCTCTTCACTTTCAGCAAGCATGGTTGTGTCATCTGCACATCGCAGGTTGTTAATGAGTCTTCCTCCAATCCTGATGCCCCGTTCTTCATATAGTCCAGCTTCTCCAATTATTTGCTCAGCATACAGATTGAATAAGTATGGTGAAAGGACACAACCCTGACGCACACCTTTTCTGATTTGAAAACCACAAAGTATCCCCTTGTTCTGTCCAAATCACTGCCTCTTGATCTATGTACAGGTTCCTCATGAGCACAATGTTCTGGAATTCCCATTCTTCGCAATGTTATCCGTAATTTGTTATGATCCGCCCAGTTGAATGCCTTTGTATAGTCAATAAAACACAGGTAAACATCTTTCTGGAATTCTCTGCTTTCAGCAAGGATCCATCTGACATGAGCAATGATATCCCCGGTCCCACACTCTCTTCTGAGTTCGGCTTGAATTTCTGGCAGTTCCGTGTCGATGTACTATTGCAACCATTTTCAAATTACCTTCAGCATAATTTTACTTGCATGTGATATTAATGATATTGTTTGATAATTTCCACATTCCATTGGATCACCTTTCTTTGGAATGGGCTGGAACATGGATCTAGTGTTTTCTTCCTGAATTCTTTGGATTTTCATGCACAGTCTAGGCGAGTGCTCACTGCACCTTGGAGACCACTATTTTCAGACATGAACTGCAAAGGAGTGGCATGAGAGCAACGTATATCCTCGTTTTCTAGGGTTTTTGATCAGCAACCCCTCTTCTGTTTATCTTAAAGTCTTGGGAAACCTCTAAAGTCTTTGTTCTCCTCACAAGGAGTGTGGGGACCTTTCTCACCTAAGGTCCTCAAGCCTCACTGGGCACACAACTCCTATTAAATTACAAATAGAGAGATGAGAAACTCAGGGCCTCATACTTCCATCTAGAGAATACTTAGAAATCCTTGAATACAGTGCATTTGATTGGAGCTAAGCCCTGGTTAACTCAGCTCAATAGTTCTTTTTTTAATTTTTATTTTTATTGTCACATTACAAAATATAATGCCATAATGAAAAAAAAATTCCAGCTTCATAATAATTTCAGATGAGCCACGTAGCAGTACGCAAGTAATTAAATCTGCAATGTAGAAAGTTTATCAAATACATTTGACTTTCAAAGTAAGAATACTATTCATTCAAATTCAGATGCGTCAACCATTAACATATGTCAGGCCATTTCTGATTCCTATGAGAAACAAAGACTCATCTATTTCGTGAGGCTATCCAGCTCCATCATCAACTGGTACATCCCTTTTCTCACATATTTCACACCGTTGCTATCGCTTAAAAAGAACAATGACTTGTTCTTTGCTGGGTTTTTGATCTGATTCAAAAAATCTGGTATCCCGTAAGCGTAACTGTGCTAAATGCAAATGGAGTAGAGAAAGTCATTCTTTATTTTTTCCAACAGGCAATTCTCCTGACAGGTGTAAACTTGATGGTTGTATCCTGACAACCCAAGAGGAAGAAGACATGATTAAGCAAAAGTGGGATCTTCCGGCCCATAAATGGAAACCACTGCTTCCGGTCATGAAGGTGAGCATGGGATGGTATCCATTAGAAGCTATGTAGGCTGGCCCTCCATCAGTACTCTTTCACTCCAATTAGCTTTTGAAGGGTTAAGATACAACACCAAATCTCTGCTTGGTCTAACAGAAACATGAATGAGCTCTTAAAAACCATATCTGTGTATTTACATGGTAAGAAGACAGGTTCTATTTTTCCACACTTGTGACTTTCTAACAATCAAATTCTGCTTACATATATAAAAAAACTACATTATATTAAATATATTATAAATATATTATATTTATTATATTATAATATAATTATATAATATATAATAATTATATAATATATAATAATTATATAATATATAATAATTATATAATATATAATATATTAAATATATTATAAATATTAAATATATTATATTTAGAAGAGGCAATATAGTATATTTAAGGCTCTAACGTGTGAAGCACGCTCTGAGATGTTACAGAAACGTCTTCTTTGCACAAGCAGGAGGGAAGGGATCATTTGCAGGTCGGGAAGGTGAGGTCTACTCCAACTTAATGATGGGTGATGACCTCTGGGAGATGCCAAGATGCTCTCTTCTTTTTCTTATCAGTTTGTCCAATGACTTAGTTATTAAAAACTGCAAACATCATGGGAACATGAATATTCTTGTCAGAATTATTTGGGCATCCTTTCCCTACTGGAAGATCTCTATGGTGAGCCAAATTACTTAATAGCTTTTATTTTTAAAATCCTTTAATTTAAACCCAATCTGATGGGCCATTGTAGGCATTGCATGAGTAAGTCCATCTGAGCCATGAACACCATGTTATAACAAAGGACCTCTGTATCTGCCTTTCTTTCAGCTGTTCCCAAACCAGAATCACCTGTTTAACAGCCTAACTTTGGAGCTCCAAGATGTCATCACCCACGCAAGGCTGACCATCGCCCCCGACGGAGGAGTGAGCCGCCTTCGGCTCAAGGGCTTCCCAAGCTCCATCTGCCTTCTGCGGCCAAGTGAAAAGCCCAGCATGAGATTCTCAGTTAAACCAGGTTTCAGAGCCAATCTTTAAACACGCACAAAACCTTGTTCTGGCTGAATATTAATAATTACCCAGTAATATTCTTCATTTGAACACCTGAATCTTAAGAAGTTTCTAAAAATTAATCTTTTAAAGATCAATATAATTCCTGGTGATTTAATAAAGTGATCACTTTCACAAATTGATGTCTTTATTGAATGTTGCTGTGTGGAAGTTTAAACATTGGCTGTGGCTGTGAATTAACTTTTTTTTTAAACACTATAAAATACTGATATTTTATAATATCAATATTCTATGTCTTCTATATACAGATTCAGTAAATAATATACAGTCTCTTGTCTTTAAAAGTTTAAGGGCATCAAAGCCATTGTTTGGGAACAATGTATTTCTGGAATCATTCACTGTCCTAGTTTAAGACAACTAGCTCATCTTTACCCAGAATATCAGTACCATTTGTCCTCCAGGGAATTCCAGCTCATAGCAACTCCATGTGTGTTAGAGTAGAACTGTGCTCCATAGGGTTTGCAATGACTAATTTTTCAGAAGTAGGTCACCAGGCCTTTCTTCTGAGGCACTTCTGGGTGGAGTTGAACCTCCAACCTTAACCTTTCAGTTAGCAGCTGAGCACTGTTAACTGTTTCCACCCCCCAGGGATTCCTTACCCAGGATAGGGAATGACTTTCCCAAGGTCATATATCCCCTTGATTTGTTCTTCCCCAAAATAAGGATGCAGTCTGAATTTTAAATGTTAGATATCATGAGCTAGCTGCTACTAGTAACCCCATTTTCTCACAGGCTCTGAATGATCCCAGGCCATTCCCCTTCGGTGGAAAAGGAACAAGTTACCAATTCCAAGTCAGGAATCCTAGACTTTTCTTTTTTTTTTTTTTTGCTGAACTGGTCAGATACTCCCTACTGAGCAGCTAAAGAAACTGAAGCTCAGAAAACTTGAGTATCTTCCCCAGGCAGGACCCAGACCCAACTCTGAGTCTAAAATACCCCATTCCTTTGGTTCTGATACCTCACACCACCCCCGTCCCTCCACCCCTCCCACAGAAGTGGGCCACCACAGGGTAGGTTACCCCAAGTAGCTGGCTGGGCAGAGGAGGCCAACAAATGCTGTGGAAGGGGTCGTGGTAGGGCACACTGTGGACTCTCTCATTTCTTGCTCTCTACTCTCCCGCAATCTTATTTCAGCCACTTGCAAAAATTGCCACCTCCCTTCCACTCCCCCACCTGTGTCGCCCCCTGAAGCACCTCTTCCCGGCTCCCTGCCTTCCCTCTCCTAGGCGGGCTGGGCCTAGGACAGAGGTCATAATTGCCCGGAGGTCGCGTCAACACACAGGGCCCGGGAGCGGCCAGAAGCGGCCCTATCCAGGCGACTCCCCGAGGCCCCACTGGCTTGCGGAAATTCCAGTCCAGCGGCCGGGCGCCTGACCGGCAGGTGCCAGTGAGCTGGGGGCATCGGGGTCTCCGCGGATTGTCTCACCCGGCTCTCGGGGCCCAGAGACAAGGGGGAAAACAGAATCCTAGACCCACTAACTGCCAGGGACCCCCTCCCCCTACTTTTGGCAGGCATCTCACCCGGCAACCGGGAGCAGGGGAGGTGGGGAAGGGCTGGGGGCGTCCAAGCCGTGGCACGAGTGGAGAGCCCCCAGTCGCCCTCGCGCCCGCGCCGAGCGCCACCATGGGCACCCACGGGACCTATACCCTGATAGACACCACGCCCGCTAAGACCATCCTGGTGTACCGCAATGGGGACCAGTATTATGTGGGCAAGAAGTTTGTCTTCAACCGGCGGCGGGTGGCGTCTTTCGAGGCCTTCCTGAACCAGCTGAACGACGAGATCGAGGTGCCCTTCGGGGTGCGGCGGCTCTACACGCCCACGCATGGCCACCAGGTCCAGGAGCTGGACAGTGTGCAGCAGGGGGGCAAGTACGTGGCCGCCGGCAGAGAGAGGTTCAAGAAGCTGAAGTAAGTGGCTGGTGCGCGGGGGCCCTCCGGGGGTGAAAACGGTTGCCCTTTTATGCCCTTTATAGGGTCGCCATGAATCGGAATCACTCCACCGCGACGGGTTGGTGGGTTGATTGGTTGGTGCTCTGAACATTCGGTTTCCTGGCACGAGTAGACCTTTAGGGTATTTTATTTCTTTTTTGTCTTATCTACTGACTCGTTGAAAGCATAGAACATGTTTTATCTTTGCAACTCCTGCATCCGGTATAGCTCTGGGGACGTGGATGTGGAGTTTGTAGAAGTACCGAGGTCCCTAGGGAGGGGCCTTCTCCGTCCTGAGCTAATTTATGTTTCTTCGTTCCGAAGGGCCCAAAGATGTGCTCTCCCGGCGCCTTCACTGGCCAAGTCCTACTCATCCTTCTACATCGATTTATTCGATATGTATTTATAGAGGAAACCCTGGTGGCGTAGCGGTTAAAAGCTATGGCTGCTAACCAAAAGGTCGGCAGTTCAAATCCACCAGGTGCTCCTTGGAAACCCTCTGGGGCAGTTCTACTCTGCCCTATAGGGTCGCTATGAGTCGGAATCCACTCGACTGCAACCGGTTTTTTTGGTTTCGGTATTTATAGAGCGCCTCCTTTGTGCACCTAGACGCTTGGGAGAGACGTATCCTTGAACAAAACAGAAATGTACCCTCTGGAGCATACGTTCTTGAGGAAGAGGGACAGGCAATCTGCAATGAACATAAGTATGTAAATTTTATAGAATGTTAGAAAGGAATGAGGAAAAAGGGCTAGATGATCAGTTCCGATTTAAAATAGGTCGGTCAGGCCAGACCTCTTTGAAAAGTGAATGTTTCAAAGAAGTTTTGAAGGAAGAGTTAACCGTGAAGGTGAGAACTGGGGGAGCCAGCACTGGGGGCAAGAATCAGATCAGTGTATCCTCTCCCCAAGCCTAGCCCTGCTGGGGATTCTGTGGCACCCGGACCATGCATTCTTCTATTAAAACACTTACTAAAGTATGTAATTGGTGAATTTCACAGTGTCTCTCCCTCCAGACGAGGACAAGCTCTGTGCCTGTTCTTTCCACGGTGCCCTTTATTTCCATATTACTGGCGCATAAAGCAATGCTGACCTACAGTAGAGGCTCTGTGAATGTTGGCTGATGAGCAAACAAGTCCCTTCCTCAGTGTCTGCTTGGATCAAGACAGCAGCTCGCGGGGGATGTCATCTGTCCTGGGGAAATGCGCTTGTGTATAAATGCCAAGGCCACAGTGGAAAACTGTAATGGAAATTGATTGCCATATTCAGGCTGTCAGTTATACTGAAGGATGTCCACTCAAAATGTCAACTTAATTCTTTTTTTTTTAAGTCTGAAACTGGTATTGCAATTCCTTTGATACCTTTTTGCACATACAACACTGTTATGTTTATACTCTTATACTTTATTGTCTTCCCAAGAGTGCCTCAGTTTCTTTATAATTTTTCTAGGCTTTCTTAGTAACTGTCATAAAAATTGCTTCGCAGTGCTAGTATCAGTCTTGCAGTTCTTCAGTAAATAGCTCTTGTGCACTGATTTGTGTAGGGCGGTTTTTAGGGTGCTGCCGAGGCTGCGAGGGCTTTATAGTGAATGTTTTGGGGAGACGAGGCATACAAATGAGAAAGTGATACCTCTGCCAAGATACACAGAAGTAATTCTGTCTAGGCTCAGGGCATCAGAAAAGGCTTCCTTTACAGAATGGAAGGGGCCAAAATTGTTAGAACATTTTAATTTCTTAATCTTCCACTAATTCCTGACCCACCTCAGCATCACCTGCTTTTGTTGTCTGCCTTTGAAAGATATTACTTTCTTTACGTTGTTGCTAATTCCATTTGTTTTATACTGAACTCTATCACATATAGAGAAAAGTGTATAAAATTATATGTACAGTTTAAAGAATAGTAACAAAACAAACTTCTGTGTAAACCACAACCCAGATTAATAAAAGGAACATTATCAGTCTTTTAAAAATCTCCTACTTGAACTCCTATCGTTTGCTATAGATAAGCACTATTTCGACTTTTTAAATAATCATCCTTTTGTAATAATCTATCCCTAAAGGATAGATTGTTTTATGTTTGTGAACTTTATATAAATGCAGTTATATTTTACATATTTTCCTGTGACTTGCTGTTTGACTCAATTTTATGTTTGGAAGACTCATCCATGTTGATAGCATTTAGCTGTAGTCATTTATACCAGAGTTTGCTTATCCAGTCTGTGGATGGATAATTTGGGTCATTTTTAGTTTTATGCTAAAATGAACACACTGCTGTAAACGTTCGTTTACGCTGACAGTGCATATGGGAAAGAGTTTCTCTAGGAGGTGTCTTAGTTACCTATTGCTGCCTAACAAATTACCCCAAACTTATTGGCTTAAAATAACATTTATTCTTCCACAGTTTTTGTGGTCGGGAATTTGAGAGCAGCTTAACTGAGTGGTTCTGGCTCAGCTTATCTCACGAGGTTGCAATCAAGATGCGGGCTGCAGTCGTCTGAAGCCTTGATTGGCACTGGGGGTTCACTCACATGGCTGTGGCGGGAAGCTTCAGTTCCTTGCCACGTGAGTCTTTCCATAGGGTGACCCGATAGCTGGCTTTCCCAAGAGTGAGTGATCCATGAGGGAGTGAGGCTGAAGCCACAATGTCTATTGTTATTGCTTGTTCTCTTTTAAGTTGTCTTCTCTATCCATCTGTCTACTTAACTTTGAGTGTGTGCTGAATATTTTAAAAATTATTTGTAGAAATAATTTGAGGAATAAGATGGTATTGTTTGCCAAAGAGGATTTTTGTGTGCTTGAGCCAGATACCTGTGTCACCAGGAATTTATGATCCCCTTAATACAGTTTCAGATTGTGAGATAATTCGGGCCACCCACATGGCCTGAAGCCAGGATGCATGCTCTCCTAAGAGCCCCCTGTGCCTCTGGTTCACAATGAGAGATAGTTTTTGAGGAATACTCCATTGTTGGTGGGCCCCAAAGAAGTACTTTTGCCTGCTAGCCATAAAAGGCTCTCAAAAACATGGTTCAACCTCTCAGCTATCTCTTCCAAATTAGCAATAACCCCTGGGCAAAAATGGCCCCAAATATTGGGCTTATGTGTTTGGATTTTCTTCCTTTTCTGGATGTTGGCCTGGTAATTCCTCACTATCTTATTAGATGTCTTATGTTTCAAAAAAAAAAAAAATTTTTTTTTTTTAATTTTGTCCAGTTTTGTTAGTTGTCTTTAGTGGAAGGGTTGATCTGAATTACTTAGTCCACTGTTACTAGAAGTGAAAGTCCTCTCTCACATGTTTCTCGAATATATGTTTGTTAGATATAGCATTCTGTGATGACAGTTTCTTTCAGTCTATGAAAGTTGTTTTCCTATTGTCTTCTGGCTTAGGAGTTGCTGTTGAGATGCCAGTTATCATTGTTCACTTCTTTGAAAGTAATATTTTATCCTTTCTGCCTATTTAAAATATATTTTCTTTGACTTTAATCTGCTGTGGTCTAACTCTGCTATGTCTGACTGTGGATTTATTGACTTTTGTTGAATCTCTGGTGTGGTAACTTTCATTAGTTTTGGGAAATTCTTAGCCATTATCTCTTCAAAGAATGCCTCTCTGTCTTACTCTGTCTTTACTTTCTGGATCTGAGGAGTTAGGGGTTAGCACATCTCAGTCACTGTACCCTCCATGACTCCTCCTTTTCATGTCCCGCCCCTTTTGTCTTTGTGCTACATTCTAGATATTTTCTTTAGATATTCTGATTAATTTTTCTGCTGTGTATAATATGCTATTAAACCCATTCATTGAGTTTTAAATTTCAATTATGTAATTTGTCATTTCTAAAAGTTGTATTTGGTTCTTTTTTCAAATCTTTTTTATCATTCTTTATAGTTTCTTGGTCCTGCATGTAATTTCAAGCTTACTGTTTATTGAAATATTGTCCTTTTACGATCTGTGTCTATAATCCCAGTATTTGAAGCCTGATTCTACGTTGCCATTTCAGCTGATTTTTTTTTTCTCATAGCAATTATTTCCTTGTAAGTAGATTTAGTTATTTTTTGAGTGGGAACTACTCACTTTTTATGGAGTTTTATTCGAGAAAACTCTTTGAGGGTTGAGAAAAAAGTGAGTTTCTCCAGAGAGATTTGCGTTTTTCCCCCAAATGCCTGGGGATACTACCAGTTGAAGGCTACTCTAAATTAAATCAGCAGCTTGCGTATTTTTGGACCACTCAGATAGTGTGATTTTGTGTGAGAGCTGGTTTTTGGCTCCAAATTCTTAATGACATTTGCAACGATGCAGATTTAACACTCTACTCTGTAGTTCTCATAGAAGAATTGTAAGTCACTGATATCACAGTTGGTAAGAGGTAGAATTTGGGTTAATGTCATAACATTTTAGATTTAAATTTATTAGAATGATTATCCTGCTAAGTATCAGAATTCACTGATAAGAATATATATTTTTCTAGATATGTGATTTTATGATTTTTTTCAGGGTTAGTAGAATGTTATACTGGTGATTCAGAACTGCTGATATACTGCCAGAATCCAGTATTCTGTGTTGCTTTACAACAACAAATGAATATTGTTGTACAAAAATCAACTTTAAAATCCTTTTTAATACTAAAATCTTTTTAAATGTATGATGAAAAGCACATTTTTACCCCAAAAAATTCCCTTGTAAAATTGGCATATGTTTTATATGTTAGCAAATGAGGAAGAAAACTTCCGTAAAGACCCACCATAATGCCTGCAAAATGCACAGTGGATGCTAACTTTTCTCTTTCCTGTGGGCCTGGGCATTTTCTAATAGACTATATTATATCTCTAATTTTGTAGAGAGTTTTTCATGGTTTATTTAAACCTATTTTGGATATACAGCAAAAGTATTGAGAAAAACTCTGAAGTGTTTCCATTCCCAGCTTTCTTAACACTTAATATTATTTTCTGGAAGGAAGGCAGTGTGGTCCCATTCATTGAACAGAGAGGGGAGGTGGGATTTTGATGTTGTTGTCAGCCTTGGTTATTTTGCATTGTCCACGTGCCTTCATTGCTATAAAATACACAGATAATGCTTGTATGTGAGGTTCAACATGGAGAGGCATTTGCGTTTCATTTTCTTCACTACTTTTTAGGTCAATGAAGTATGAAGTCTGAATCCAGACTTTGGTGAACAAAGCTCTGAAAAATGTTTGGGCTTGATTTCCACTGGTATCAGTCAGCTGAAGGAGCCCTGGTGACACAGTGATTAAGTGCTTGGCTGTTAACCAAAAAAGGTTGGTGGTTTGAACCCCCCAGCCGCTCGGCAGGAGAAAGATGTGGCAGTCTACTTCCGTAAAGATTACAGCCTTGGAAACTCTATGTGGCAGTTCTACTCTGTCCTATAGGGTCACTATGAGTTGGAATTGAATCAACGGCAATGGGTTTTGGATCAGTAAGCTAGCGCTTGTTAGAAAAGTATGTTCTGTAATTACCAAGCCATTGAGCAGTTTAAATTAATTTTTACCAGAAAATAATATTCTAATTGTACTACCAGCAAATGAACTTTGAAGTGAAACCGATGATATATTAACCCTCTAGGCACTTCTCTCAATAATTGCTATGAAACGGTACATTGAAAAGACAAACACGGTAAAAATCTACCTGATATCCAGTCATGCTTCAAATGTTTCCTCCATTTTCTGAAATAAATTAATCTGAGAGGAAGAACATGATTTTTTTATTTATAAAACAAACTGTTATAGGGTAATAATTATTTTTCAAACAAGTAAATGTTCCAGAAAGCCTAGAATCAACTATTTCTTTTGTGGAGAAAGCCATGTTTGCAACAGAATCTAGATCAGGGCATGGTGTGTGTATGTTTTGAGGGGGTTCCAAATAATTTGAATTATAGTAGAGATATTGTCCTATCTAATTTATGAATTTGTTGCTGAGATACAAATATGGAAGCGCTATTTAAATCAAACTATCATTGTTCTTCTACACCTCATCCTGTTCTCGAATCTCCCTTACCACTCATTTATACCTTGGGGAGTAAAGGGCAACAGGAAAATGAGGAAAGTGGCTACAGAGGCAACTGTGACAGAGAGAGGGGAGTGCTGGTCTCAGAGTCAGAAGACCTGGGTTGAATTGAATGTTGGCTTTATCTGAGTGACATTTAGGAAATTAAACAACCTCTCTGAGCCTTAGTTTCCTCTCACTAAAATGGGATTAACTAATATCTACTCTGTAGTATTCTTGTGAGAAATAAATAAAATACAGTCTAGTAAAATGTTTAGCATTGATTCTAATTGTTGTCTTTCTTTCTTTATTCTCTGGAGTAGCAATTAATGAAGTTGCACATTAACTGTCTAGTCTCTGCTTCAAATACCGCTCCCCATTCCCATCCCCAAGCAAACCTAAGCCCAACCAGCAAACTTTTCCAAGAGCCTGATTTAAAGACCCGGTTTCATTGGATCTTCGAGGAATTATTTGTTCCCTTGTCTGTTCTATCTATATGTTCTTTAGAATGCAACATAGAAACAATAAATAGTATTTTGTGTTTTTGTAGGCTTTTTCTATGCCTCAATTTTTCTGTTTTTATTTTTATTTTTTGTTTACAGTTAACAAGTGTAAAAATGGCATGGCAGAGGCATCTGACTTCCTCTAGCTTCACAAGCAGGAAGGAGAATCAAGATCAACAGCCCAAGGCTGATTCCTATGAGGCAGGGGTCAGACATGCTTCGTATCTCCGCCATCTTTACCAATTCTGACACCAACCGTTCCTCCCACGGCACTCTCTCCCTCTCTGCTGAGTTTGATAATTCGTTGCAATGGTCACACATACCTCACAGACAATACTCACGATTATGGCATTTATCAGGGAAGTAACAGGTTACAATTCAGATTTAGTACCACTCAGGATACAGCTCTTCTATCAGGACAGCCTCATCTTAACTGTACCTGCAGGCAAGCCTCTCCACGGCCCTCGGCCTCTGTTACGACGCTCTTTTAGCTCTGCTAATAAGCACGCTGAGGCACCCCATTCTGGAAGGCGCTCAGCTCTATCTCAGTGGGTCAGCAAACCCAGCTCCACCAAGTGCCTGGAGGCACCCTACTCTGCCAGCAAGCCTCCTGCCTAAAGGCGCTCATCTTTCTCTACCTGTGGGCCAGGAAGTCCACCACGCCATCCCCTGCTGGTTTCCTGCCTGTCTCCTACGTCTGTTGCTTCTGCTGCTGCTGTTTCTCCGCCGCTGCTTCTCTCCATCTTCAGTGTTACAACTCTCTCTCTGTCTCCTGGTTCTAGGAGCTTCTCAGCACAGGGATCCCAAGTCCAAAGAATGAGCTCTGCTCCTGGCTCTTCTTCCTCTGTGGTCGTGAGATCCTTTCCTCCCACCTTTGAGGTGGCTCATTTTAAGCCTAACAGGATGGCAAAACTGACCAATCCCTTTGTTAGGGTTCCATATACCTTATTTGCATAGTCCCACACAATCATTGTGTGTGAGTTACAAAGACTATGGCTGTAATTGTTGTTGTTAGGTGCTGTCGAGTTGGTTCTGACTCATAGTGACCCTGTGTAAAACAGAACGAAACACTGCCTAGTCCTGCATCATCCTCATAATCGTGTTATGCTTGAGCCCATTGTTGCAGCCACTGTGTCAATCCATCTCCTTGAGGGTCTTCCTCTTTTTCACTGACCCTCCTTTACCAAGCATGATGCCCTTCTCCAGGGACTGGTCCCTTCTGATAACATGTCCAAAGTGTGTGAGACAAAGTCTCCCCATCCTTGCTTCTAAGGAGCATTCTGGCTGTACTTCTTCCAAGACAGATTTGTTCATTCTTCTGGCAGGCCATGGTATATTCAATATTCTTTGCCAACACCATAATTCAAAGGCGTCAATTCTTTGGTCTTCCTTATTCATTGTCCAGCTTTTGCATGCATATGAGGTGATTGAAAACACCATGGCTTGGATCAGGCATCCCTTAGTTCTTAAGTGACATCTTTGCTTTTCAACACCTTAAAGAGGTCTTTTGCAGCAGATTTGCCCAATGCAATACATTGTTTGATTTCTTGACTGCTGCGTCCATGGGTGTTGATTGTGGATCCAAGTAAAAAGACTATGGCTAGGAGGGTCATATAAAGCAGTTCATTGCACTGCAACAAGTTTTCTCATTTGGAAGATTAATGTTCGTGATCAAATATAGAATTTGGGAATTTAGAACTAATTTCTAATAGCTATTTGGAAAAAAATATGATGACTAGAAGATGCTTGTGAAGAATTAATATAGGGGCTTATAAACAGAGATTATAAATTGGAGACTCTCTAAATCTCCAAGATTTTAATTGGCTGCCAACATTTTATGATCAGTAGAGTTCATGTAATAATATAGATTTTTGGTTTCTATTGAAAAAAATTAGAGCGTTTGATTGTTCAAAAGGACTTGGTTTTATTTGCCCATATTTCTACAAGAAAACAGCTCCCTGGAGCAATGAAGTACTGTTCATTTTAGAGGGGAAAGTACTCTTCCACTTGCCACAGTCCCCACCACCCCGTATTACTACCCCTGGCAAACTTTACTTTTTACCTCCCTGGCCTCTGTAGGCATCTGAGTTTGTGACTTTTGACTATTGAATACTTTTTAAAATTTCTTTTTCCTTCCATCTACCAACTCTAAGTTTATCCTTCTTTGAATAATGCTAAAACCATTAAAAATGACAACAATCTCAAATATATACATATGTGTGTGTATATATATATATATATATTTGGTAGAGTTAGTAGATGGAAGAAAAAGGAAATTTAATATATATATGTCTGGAGCCCTGGTGGCATAGTGGTTAAGAGCTTGGCTGTTAGCCAAAAGGCCAGCAGTTCAAATCCACCAGCTGCTCCTTGGAAACCCTATGGGGCAGTTCTACTCTGTCCTATGGGGTCGCTATGGATTGGAATTGACTTAGTGGTAATGGGTTTGGTTTTGGTTTTATATATATGCATATTTGTAAATCAAGAAAAAATCTTAATATCAGATATAAATGTTAAGATATTGTTTATTATTATTTAAAACATTTTATTTGTGAGGAATATAGAAAACTCTCCAAAAGTCCCCAAGCATCAAGAATTGTGTTACTGAGACTCATAAAACTTCGGTTCTGTGAATCTTGTCCAGTTTGCAGTTTTGGCAAAATGGAAACAGAGATGAAACCCCATGAAACAGGAAGGAGTGGTGGAGTTGAAAAGCAGCTGAACAAAGAGTCTGGGTGTCTGTTCTGACTTTGGCCAGCTATGGGACATTTGATGAACTTATTATTGTGGGCTTTTAGAGACCTGGTTAAAAAAGAAAATTGAATTTCATAATCTCTCAGGTCCCTCTATCTCTTTGATTAATACAATCATATATATGAGGGAAAGCACTATTACCTAAGAGACTTTTCCCCTGGGCAATGCTAACAGCATCCAGTATGAAAAGCTGCCCTCCAATGGCGTTAGTACTGTATATTAATTTGGATTCTAGCATTCATAGTGCTCTTCATTTTAGTTTTAAGTTGCTGTGGGTTGGTGTATTTTAATGCTGAAAAGAAGTCATCCCTGAAGAGGCTCAAACTTTCTATCAAAATGTTTATCTTCTAATTATGTTTCTTTTCCTTCGTTTGCAGTTATATTCACATAGTTCCCAGAAAACCTTCAAAGATAAGAAAACTCAAGGAAGTAAGTATTCGCTGCTACCGACTAAGGATGGGATAGCTTAGACGGTTTGGTAAAAATGTAAATGTCACCATTGAATAATTGAAGTTTTACAAAAACAGTGTTTAGTAGAGTGCCTGTTGCTCTTAAAGTGAGAAGTCACCGTGCAAGCTTGTCATACTTGTCAAAGCACATAAGTAGCTAAGATGATGGAAGTTAGTAAAAATATTCTAAGACCACGGTGAGGGAGATAGTCATCTTTGAGAGACAGTGCGCCATTAGTCATTAAAACTTAACTTTTCCTTTGTTTTTGGGAGTTTGGGAGGACGGGTGTCAGAAAAAGTTATTTTAAGTTATGTACTGTTGAAGCTAATTATAATGCTAAATTTAAAGATTTACCCCAAGTTCTCAATATTTTTGTGCTTGATAGACATTTGAAAGGTCTACGTGATGGAACAGTCCATCATCCCGTGCACATCACTTCAATCTTAGCAAAAATAACCACTTAATGTGTGGTTAAAAAAGGCTTATTTTTTTTTTTAAAGCAGTGAAAGTTTCCAAGTTTTAAGTGAAATAGCCTGTTGATATTTAGAATTTGACGTGATTTTTTACTTTTTTTTAAAAAAACTATTATTTTGTGGAGTGCTACAAAGATGAGATGTTTTGAGGGTATCTACTTTTCTAACTGGTAGTGTTGTTATTCTTAAATTTCCTTGTCTTTAAAATGAAAGTGATAATGTTTACTTCAGAGGATTACTGGAAGGATTAAATTGCTGTCAGTATTAAATTATATGTATATATATATATATATATATACACAAATACGTTATATGTATTGTATGCATAAATAATAAAAGTGAAGGATTAAATTATAATCCATATATATATGAAAAATGTACCAAAAACCAAACCCACTGCCGTCAAGTTGATTCCGACTCATAGCGACCCTATAGGACAGAGTAGAACCACCCTATAGGGTTTCCAAAGAGTGGCTGATGGATTCGAACTGCCGACCTTTTGGTTAGCAGCTGAGCTCTTAACCACTGCACCACCAGCACTAGATAAATGTTGGTTTTCTTCCTCCACATCTTAAAAAAGCTGGGCTGCTCTGTGTCCTTGCATCACCATCCTGTAGCCCAACCAAGGACAACTTAGTCGCTCCAGCATTGAGCAAAAGCACCGGCATACAGAAGCTGTTAGCTACTTCTCTAGTGTCTTCACCTCCTGGCAGTGAAATAAATCAAGTCAAATTTATTACTTACCGACCTTAAATTGTAATTTGCCAGGGGCAGGAAAGCAAGTTTCCAACTAGAAAGCAATTCTGGCAGTCGTCGAATTTCAGGGTTACCTTAATAAAGAGAGTGGAAAAGGTATATGATTTTTCTTAACATCTAGCTAACTGAGCTATGAGTTGCCAGTGAGGCTGGGAGTGAGATTAGTCACTAATTCTGAAAATGAACGTTAACCCTTGATCATTGTGATAGTTGGATTCTGTGTTTGCCCTTCTCACATTTCAATGATTTAAAAACTGAGTTATTATTATAAAGTAACATTTAGCATTTTAGGTCTGGAAGGAAACTTGCAGATTATCTCGTCGAATCTCATTACTTTCTAGTTGAGGAAGTTTTAATCCAGATAGGTTAAGTGCTGTACCTAATGGCAGAGAAGACAGCAGGATCTATTTTTCTCCTAGGTATGGTTTGTTCTATTACGCCTCAGTGCCTCAATAATTTTTCTTTTAAACAAACGTTGTTGTTGTTAGGTGCGATCAAGTCAGTTCTGACTCATAGCAACCCTGTGTACTACAGAACAAAACACTGCCCAGTCCTGTGCCATCCTCACAATCATTGTTATGCTTGAGCCCATTGTTGCAGCCACTGTGTCAATCCATCTTGTTGATGGTCTTCCTCTTTTTTGCTGACCCTGTACTTTACTGAGCATGATGTTCTTCTCCAGGGACTGATCCCTCCTGTGAACATGCCCAAAGTATGTAAGACGCAGTCTCGCCATTCTTGCTTCTAAGGAGCATTCTGGTTGTAGTTCTTCCAAGACAGATTTGTTCCTTCTTTGGCAGTCCATGGTATAGTTAATATTCTTTAAACAAACATAGCAGAACTTAAACACCTATACGAGCCTTGTCAGTCAGTTAGAACTAAACTGTTAAATTTTATTCAGATTGGTAGGTATTCATGCACCTCAAATATGGATAGAGGTGAGCCACTACAATTCAAAGGCATTATGAGTAATAATAATATCAACTAGTTACTGAGCTCTTGCTATATACCAGGCACCATGCTAAATGCTTTACATTACCAGCACCATGCTGTCGAGTCAATTCATGGCATCCTACCTGTGTCAGAGTAGAACTGTGCTCCATAGGGTTTTCCATGGCTATTTTTCAGAAGTAGATTGTCAGGCCTTTCTTCTGAGGAGCCTCTGATTGGACTTGAATCTCTAACCTTTCAATTAGCAGCCCAGCGCATTAGCCATTTGCACCACCCAGAGGCTGTGAATACGTTACATAGACCATCTTATTGAATCCTGAAAACATTCTCAGATCATACCTATAGATCTAATCACAGTATAAAACACCATGAGTCATTCAACCATTCCTCTACTGATGGACATTCAGGTTGTTCCCAGGTTTTTGAAATTAAAAAAAAAATTCTATTAGAAATATTAAGCAGAGTATACTGTAAGCTTTTGTCAGGTCCCAAAATTCAATATTTAAGTGTTTTACTAAATTATTTCGTGATACAGTAACAAAGAGTAAAAGTACCGATTGTTGTTCCGTGTCGTCGAGTCGATTTTCAACTCAGAGTAGAACCACCCCATAGGGTTTTCTAGGTTGTAATCTTTACGGGAGCAGATGGACAGGTCTTTCTCCTTCAGAGCCACTGGGTAGGTTTTAACTGCCAACCTTTCAGTTAACAGCTGAATGCTTAACCATTATTACCACCATGTTCCTCAAACCAAACTTGTTGCTGTTGAGTCAATTCTGACTCATAACAACCCTATAGGTCAGTGTAGAACTGCCTCATAGGGTTTCCAAGGAGCGGCTGGTGGATTCGAACTGCCGAGTTTTTGGTTAGCAGCCGAGCTCTTAACCACTTCTCCACCAAGGCTCCACCAAGTTCCTAGCTATATGTAAATTATTTTTTCACAGAATTTCTGTTTTGGCCAAAATATATTAGTGGGAAAATCGAAGAAGCTTCTCCAGAGAACTTGATTTAGTATAGAAATTCACTTAAAATTAATTACTACTACTACCTGTTGCTGTCCAGTGATTCCGACTCATAGTGCCCCTATAGGACAGAGTAGAACTGCCCCACAGTGTTTCCAAGGCTGAAATCTTTAAGGAAGCAGACAGCTACGTCTTTCTCCCGCTGAGCTGCTGGGTGGGTTTAAACCACTGACCTTTTGGTTAGCAGTCAAGTGCTTAACTACTGCGCCACTGCAGTGCCTTTAAAATTAATTAGAATACCATAATATACACTTAATATAGCCATATAAATGATTGGTAAAATACTTCAATATAATGAATTTGAAACTACATTTCATTAAATGGAGGAAAGAGGTAAATTAGATTTGAAACAGATGCTCATGGGATCTTGGCTTTTAGCTACAGTGTCACATTGGTTTTAATGAGAAAAGTGTCCTTGGTCTCATTTTAATTCAAGGACTTCTACTGCTACATCTTGGAGGTTCTGGTTTATAATCGTAAATTGCATAGATCTAGGCAGAATTTAGATGTACTCTCCAGTTCTTTTCTTCACACTTCTAGAAACAAATGAGTCCCCCTTGAATATATTTTTCTCTGAGAGCTGTGTTCTGACTCTGCTCTTTCAGGGGTCCTATCCTGAAACATACTTTGTCAACACCACGGTTCAGGTTCAAATGCGTCAGTTATTCATCTGTCTTCCTTTTTCACTGTCTAGCTTTCGTATGCTTATGAGGTGATTGAAAAGACTATGGCTTTAGTCAGGCGCTCCTTAGTCATCAAAATGACATCTTTGCTTTTAAAAACTTTGAAGAGATCTTTTGCAGTAGATTTGCAATGCAATACGTCATTTGATTTCTTGACTGCTGCTTCCACGGATGTTGACTGTTGATCCAAGTAGAATGAAATCCTTGACAACTTCAATTTTTTCCTCATTTATCATGATATTGTTTATTGGTCTAGTTGTGAGGATTTTGGTTTTCTTCAAGTTCAGGTGTAACCCATACTGAAGTCTGTAGTCTTTGACCTTCATCAGTAGTGCTTCAAGTTGTCTTCATTTTTGACGAGCGAGGTTGTGTCATCTGCATAGCACAGGTTGTTAATGAGTCTTCCTCTAATCCTGATGCCTTGTTTTTCTTTATATAGTTCAGTTTCTTGGATTATTTGTTCAACATACAGATTGAATAAGTAAGGTGAAAGGTTACAACCCTGCCGCACACCTTTCCCGATCCTGAACTATGCAGAATTGAACCATGCAGTATCCCTTTGTTCTGTTAGAACGACTGCCTTTTGATCCATGTACTGATTCCACATGAGCACAGTAAAGTGTTTTGGAATTCCCATTCTTCATAATGTTATCCATATTTGTTATCCACACAGGTTTTGCGTAGTTGATAAACCACAGGTAAACAGCTTTCTGGTATTCTCTGCTTTCAGCCAAGAGCCATCTGACATCAGCGATGATATCCTTTGCTCCACACTCTCTTCTGAATCTGGCTTGAAATTCTGGTATTCCCTATGGCTGTATGAAACAGATACTCTCAAAAGCTATTGTTGACAATAAAAATTTATCTGATGGCAAAACTGATCTTCTAGTACTCTTTTTAATGGATCATCAAAAAGATGTTTTTAAGATTCCTGGAATGCTACATAAAATTGTAGTGTTAAGCTCATGGCCACGCAGAGGAAGAGAACCAAACAGTGAAACAGGATATATTTATTGCCAGAGAATTGATCACAGTGACTATCCGAACAGTACACAGAAGACAAAAGATGAACCATTGAATTTACTAAAAACTGTTGA